TTTTTTTATACCTAACTTTGTTTAAGGATGGTTCTCAACTATGTTATAAAATATATAACAAAATGATTTGATATACAATTTGGCTTTATGCAATATGTGTGTAAAAATAGCATAAACTGTTTTTCCCATTAAGCACAATGTTATCTATACACTGTATCTAAAAATTCAGAAATAATCGCTTTAATAAATTCGGTAGGCAATTATGTAATAATAATAATAATAATAATAATATTTTTTAAAAAGCAGCGGTCCGCGCCTGATTTCCACAGACACGCAGAATGTGCAGGATTCATATTTTGTGTTTTTGCGGCTTAATATTCACAGACACTACTCCATATCGCGTTTTAATTACTGACCTACTTTTGATTTATTCATCCAAAATGTAGCATATTCCTTGACATTCTGCGTAATAGGAGTTCCGTTTTTATGACTGGATTCTACAAACCACTCCGTGTTTTCCGCATCGCGGCTGTATGTCTCAAGAGTAGTCAGTGCAATTTGGGAAAGAAATCAATTAAATCTGAATGTGGACTCCTGTAAATATTCAAATGTAACCCCCTTTGTAATCGTTAACATTTTCATAAGTAACTGTAATTTAATTACACATTTGTTCTTAGTAACTGTAACTGATTACAGTTACATTTATTTTGTAATTAAATTACGTAACGCCGTTACATGTAACTAGTTACTCCCCAACACTGGTTATTTTTATCTGGTGGTTAATAGATGCATTTTGGAAATTGCATTTATGTTGGTAACCATAGCAACAGGAATCCGGATTAAGATCATAGTCACATGAAAAATCACAACAAACAGAAATACTGTAGTTATTTATGTTGCATTTTAGATCAGAAATATATCACATAAAACTAGTGTTTTTAAAATCTACAAGCTACAGTAAGTGACATTTGGCTTAGGGCCACCAAAAACAATTTGATTTGCACAAGATGAACCTCAACAGATCGGAGACCAGAGATTTCTAATAAAAAGCTGATGCCCAAGTCATTATGTATTTTGCACGCTGCTTTTTCACAGTTAACTTTTATAGCGCATTAACTTGCAAAATGACATTACGAAAGTTTACCATCACAGCTGTCATGCTGAAATATCTGGACATATGCCAGTGATGTTTATGCAAATGTGCTTTGTATGGTAACCACGAGAGAAATAATATGCCTATAGGTTCAACTGTAGCTGTATGGTCAGTTCTTGAAATAACATCTTGAAGAAAGGCTCAGCAAATACATTTTCAACACAAGCGGTTGACTAATTCCCCCCGTGAACACAAAGATTGGATATTCACAGCTGGTCCGAATTCTTTTTTGCACAAACGTGTTTGTAAAAAGGGTCCAACTCATTATTATAGTGATTTGTAGTTCATTTCAGAAACGCCAGCAAGACTTTTTACCTCAGTAATTGGAAATATAGCAATGTTAGGACATATGTTAGTTTGAAAATAGAAAAATAATGAGAACAAAATCGCAACTTTCTGGTGTGCCGTTTTATAGCACCTGCGGTACTTTCTCAGCTCTAATGAAATGGTAAAATAAAGCAAAACTGTTGTTTCTGAATTTCATAATCTCTCTGTCTGTTTGTTCTCACAGATATTGATGATTGTCAGTCCAATCCATGTCAGAATGGAGGCACCTGCATTGATGAGATCAACTCTTTCGTATGCCTGTGTCTGCCCAGCTATGGTGGAGCAACCTGTGAGAAAGGTAATAAAATAGCACATATGTGCACTTGCATGCAAATGATGAAATATATGGCATAAAAGAAATTATGGACATGGGGGAAGTTCCTGATCTGGTTGTGATCTAAAATAAGCGGCATCTTTTTAAACATTTTAATTTTAGTTGTTTAGTTTGTTTCTATGGTGGCCGAGAGAGCTCAACGCACTGCAACTTAAGAAAACACATGCAAATTGAAAAAACACCAGCAAATTAAGAAAACATCTTCATCAGTTTGACACCGTTGAGCTCTCTCGGCCACCGTATGTTTCATTTGTTTTTATGTGCATTTGTCATTTTAGTCATTTTTATTTTTATATTTATTTCAGTTTTAGTCATTTTAATACTTTAATTTAGTTTTTTAGTTGCCAAGTTAATTGTTCACCCTTATTTTGATATATGAAGGGATGAATGAATGAAAGGATGAAGGGATGGATGGATGGCTGGATGGATGGGTGAATGAATGAAAGGATGAAGGGATGGATGGATGGATGAAGGGATTGATGGATGAATGGATGGATAGATGGATGGATGGATGAATGAATGGATAAATGAAGAGATGGTTGGATGAATGAAGGGATGAATGGATGGAAGAATGAAGAGATGATGGGATGAAGGGATGGATGGATGGATAAATGAAGAGATGGTTGAATGAATGAAGGGGTAGATGGATGAATAAAGGGATGAATGGATGAAGGGATGAATGAATGAAGCGATAAAGGGATGGATGGATGAATGCATGGATGAAAGGTTGGATGGAAGTTGCCATAAAGTGATGCTAGTACAAATTAGCATATACACACAGCATATATTTTGAAAATATTTACATGTATTTACATGTATATATTTATATTCATATAATTTATATCGTGTATAAATATATTTATATAAACGGAACAAATTTTCCTAAATATATACATGCATGTGTGTGTGTATTTATATATACATAATAAATATACACAGTACACACACATATTATGTAAACAAAAACTTTTATTTTGGATGCGATTAATCGTGATATATATATATATATAAACATAAATTCACTATTAGTGCAGTCGTGAATGACTGTTGTAAGTGAATGAATCATTATCATTCATGTCCATGCACTATTGTTTTTTGACTGTAGCATGACAAAGCAGCATTTAAGCAAATATCATTAAAGGGCAAGTTTTGAAGCACCATATAATTGACTGGACAAGCTGACTGAAAAAACTTAACCCTAAACACATTTTAGTAAAAGACAGTAAAACTGGTTTCATTTATTAAGATCCACACCAATCTTACTCAAATGATTCGCGATACGCGCTTTGAAGTCCCGAATCAAATGATTTGCGATCCGCAATCCGAATAGAGCACTTTGAAACAGTGAATTATTTTGTGACTCAATGGTTTAACTGATTCGGAGTTTCAAAAAACTCCGTTGATACTTTGTTCTTTGCTTGCTTTCTCTATATAATTTATTCGTTGCTTGAAAAACCGTGGAAATGAAATCATTACAATTAATAGGCCTAACTTACAATGTTTTTAATAGATTAATTGTGATCACGTTAAATACAGTTCCCGTCGTATTAAAAACATTTCATGACATGTCACCCATTATATGGTAGGCCTACT